AAAAAAAAAAAAAAAAAAAAAAAAAAAAAAAAAAAAAAAAAATTGTACATAACTATACAGCTTAGGAGTGTCTAATTCACTGACAACATATAACTAATCAAGCTGAAAAATATTTCAGCTGAAAACACACAGCAAGACATGTATTATACATATATCCCAAAAAAGAGGAAAAAAAAAACAAAAAAAGAAACAAAAAGGAGACATACATATTAAATACAAACATGGATTATTCTTCTTCAGATCCTCTCTCACCATTGTTGTTCATCAACAAAACAATCCATTAATATACACGCTACGATCACGCCCGAACGATGAGCTCCACAAGCTTCTCTTCGTCTTCCTCCTCCACCGGCACCACCAGCATCTCGTCCTCGGTCGTGAAATTGTACCTCTCCCCCACCGCCCTCAGCAGCTGGTAAACCTCGAACATAGTGGGCCTCTCCTTGTGGGCCGGGCCCACACACCTACACGCAACCTTCATAAACTGATAAACCTCCCCATCAAACCCCTTCCCCACCAAGCACTCATCGACCGCGTCCCTCAGCCTCGACTCCCCAGACAGGCCCAACACCCACTCGGCAAGGCTCCCCTTGAACCCCTCGTGGGCCCGTGGGCCCACATGGGTCGGCTTCTCTCCCGTCGCCAGCTCGAGCAGCACGACCCCGAAGCTGTACACATCACCTTTTGGGGTGGCCACCAGGGTTCGCGCGTACTCGGGCGCCACGTAACCCAAATCCCCGAACTCGCCATTGACGAATGTGCTGAGGTGGGTGTCGACCGGGTTCATGAGTCGGGCCAGCCCGAAATCCGAGATCTTGGGCTCGTAGCCCGAGTCGAGAAGGATGCACTTGGAGCTGATGTTGCGGTGGATGATGCGCGGGTTGCAGCTGTGGTGGAGCCACGCGAGGCCCTTCGCGGCCCGTGTGGCGATCTTGAGTCGAGTGGGCCAGTCCATCACGGGCCCATTTTTATTGTGGAGACAGTCGTGAAGGCTGCCGTTGGGCATGTAACTGTAGACGAGGAATCTTTCGTTTTTGGTCAGGCAGTACCCGACGAGCGGGACGAGGTTGCGGTGTTTTACGTTCCCTAAGGTTGTCATTTCGGAGACAAATTCCTTTGACGAGTGCTGAGTGTCCTGAAGGCGTTTGACCGTGAGGGAGGTCCCGTCTGGGAGTTGGGCCTTGTACATTGTCCCGGTTCGGCCCGAACCGATTATGTTCTCGTTGCTGAAGTCGTTGGTCGCCTTCATGAGGTCGTTCAGGCTCATCTTCGAGACCGATTTCTCAAACATCGACAGCTGTGAACAGAAAGTTGCGATTTTTTTAATCTTAGACAACAATTATCAAACCTCAAAGTTTTCTGATTCAGCCTTTTGTCACTCTGATTCTTAAAAAAACGACCCTCAAAGTTTTTCTTATTTACCGAAAAGGAAATCAGAATATCTTGAAAAGGTTCGCATTTCTTTGCATATCAACCCTTATTTTGTAAGAGAACTATACATTTTTTTTTTTTCCTCATTTGGATTGACTGACTACTATCCCTGTATTTACGGTTAAAACTTCAAAAAGAAAAAAAAAACGTAAAAATGCCTTGCCTTGACGTGCTTAGCACCCTTGATACTCTTGGCCCATTTGTTCCCGAGCGGGTCATCTTCCTTCCTCTTCTTCAGAGACATCTTACGCATATATAAGTACATACCAACAACGACACCTAAAGCCCCAGCAGCAGCACCAGCAACAATTCCACCAATTATTGCCGGGTTTCGATTCTTCACACGGCCCATGCAAAGAGGCAGCCCAGGCCCGCCACAAAGGCCCGGGTTACCCACATAACTATCAGCTCCAATGGCGGTGGAATTATAAAATCCGGGCACAGGCCCAGTCAGCTGGTTCCTCGCCACTGAGAACAACTTCAGTCGGCCCAACTGACCAATCTGTGAAGGTATTTGACCGGTCAACCGATTATTGTCCAGCTTGAGTGTGTTCAAGAAAGTGCAGTTCGCAAGATTCACCGGAATTTCACCCGAGAACTGATTTGATGAGAGGTCGAGGGAGGTGAGTAGGCCAATGTAACGAGAGATATTAACCGGAATCTGTCCGTGAAGCTCGTTGCTCGAGAGGTCGAGGCCCGTCATGGACGAACAATTTTGTAAGCCCAACGGGAATTCGCCCCTTAGTCCCATGCCAGAGAGTTTGATGTTTAGGACCTGGTTGTCATTTTCGTGCCAGCACTCGATGCCGTTGAAGTTGCATATTTGTGTGTGGGTCGCGTTGGTGAAACTCCAGGTTTCTAAGTAGTTGTTTGGGTCTTGCAAAGAATGTTTTACGGCTGAAAGGCAGTCGATATCGCTTTGACTTGCGTGGGAGAGTTTGATAATAACCGGGAGGAGACATGTTAAAATGGCAATGAGAGCGTGTGGGGCATGGAAATTAGATGACATATTCGTTTATTTATTACGGAAAATGGCCTTAAGAAAGGTCCTCGAAATGTATAAGAACGGTTTCAAGATTGATATCGCATGACAAGACTCGGAGTTCTGTTCCTGAGAGAAGATCCAAAATCAGGCTACATATAGAAAATGTTTCGAGTAAAAAATGCAAAAGGCAACTATGAATGAAGAGTGCTTAACGGGTAATCAGGCATGATCTCAATGTAAGAGGAACAAATGGCAAGTTGACATAATGAAATAAATTGACAAGAGATCATCATCGCACGTCTATGTGGATGCTTAGGAGTTCAAGAAAGTAACAGGTACTAAAGCTTTACCATCTAAAGAAGCCCAAACAGGTGAAAAGAAAAGACAGAACACAGAGGATGACTCCCTAGGATAAGAGTCATATGTCTAAGGTGAAAGCTATGAGACAAAAAAAAGAACTTTCATGTACAATCCTGCATAGCCTTGAACATTATCAAATCCATTTTCTCCGACCAAATCGTACAATAGCAAGAACAAATTCCAAGGTTTTATGACTCTAAGGAACATATCATGCTTGCATATCCATCCATTTTCTCTACCGAATACGCTGCAGTAAGTTTCATCTTGTTTGAGATATATCAAATACTTTTGGCAAGTGACATAAGAAAACATCAAAGGACAAGGAAAAGTAGAAAGAAGAAAACTCACAAGAATCTTAAAAAACCAAGCTGAACAAAAAACAAAACCTTAATAGTTTTCCTTTCAGTGAAGATCATACAGCCACATAAAAGGTAAGAACCTAAAAGGCCAACAAGAGTGAACTCAATCATGAACAAGTAAGAATTCACATGACAAATCAATCAAACTCACCTGTTAGGCTGCAATCCCACAAAAGTTTTACTGAAAATACAAAAGGGTTTACCAAACAAAACAAACTATAAACCCCTGAACTCAAAATCAGCCAAAATAAAAGGGGAACAAAAAAAAATATCAAACCCTTCTGAAAGTCATCCAAAAGTCAGCAGCAAACATCACTGAATAAACAAACTAAAAAAAACCCACAAACAAGACACGAGATTACACAAATTTGATACACCCCTTGTAGAAAAATATAAATAAAAAAGACTCTTAAAAAAAAAAAAAAGGAGAACTCTACCTGGGTAGTGTGAAAGATTGGATCTTTGGTGCTCAAACTTCAAAAGGGAGACTTGGGAGTGGACCGAACATATATAATAAAATGGGGTTTGCAAGAATGATTATTATTATGTGATTAGTACTTTTCGAAAACAAAATCCCAAATCTGTGTTTAACTGTTGAATTTCGTGTCCAAGACGGTGAAGACTGTGAGAGCGAGACTCTTGAGTCCTCTCTCTATTCATTTATCTATTTCATTTTCCCTTTTCTTGCCCCCTTTTTTTTATGATTTTTTTTTTTTTTAATTGTTTTGTCTTTTTACAGTGGGTGGAGCTGAAAGACTGGAGAGTGGGACTGCAAAGCGAGAAAAAGATGGTAAAGAGAAAACCTATGAGACGACCATAAATTGCTTGACTTTTCTTGTGCCCCAAAAGCGTGTTGAATTAGCAATTCTTTGACCACCAACTAGCCCACGTCTAATTCTAAGACGCACTTGTGATATAAATAAAATCAGAATTGAATTTTTTAATTAATTTAGTTAATTTATTGAGATATTTTTTAATAAAGTTGATTGAGTGAATTATTTAGGGGATGCTTGGACATAATTTTTATTCAAAAAAATTTATTTATTTTAATCAATTATTTTTTTAACTCAAATCTAAATCGACTTTAATTCAATCACACTATCATCAAGTTTATCAAATAATTAAATAATAATTCTTAATCATTCTTATACATTATATCAACTTTAATTCACTCACATAATTTTAACTAGGGCAATGCTATATGTACACCCCTTTTTAATAAATTACACAAAGGGGGTGTACTATATGTACACCCATTTTTTTACACACAAGGGGGTGTACATATAGACACCCCCTTTTAACTATTCATCATTTCACATTATATCTCTCTTATTTTTACAGCAAAATCGATTTTTATTATTTTACTGTAAAATTTATTTTTAATATAAAATCAAATTCACACTAGCAATTAACATTACAACCTTTTTCAAAATTAACCATACCAAAAAAAATCTAAACAAAATCAAAAGATGTTAAATCCAAGCATCCCCTAGTGATTTTTTAATTTCTATTAATATTTAAAATATAATAATTTAATTGAGGTGATGTAGAAATAAGAGATAAGTTATTGAAAATAATTAAAAAACATGTGAGTGGAAGAGTAGTAAATTAAAGTTGATTTAATGAGTGAGAACTTATGATGATTGATTCATATTTATTTAATTATATTAATGATATTAAAGATCAATTGGTTTGATTCAACTTGAGTTAAAGGATGTAAAAAAATTTTTCGATCAGTCAAACTATGGGGAAAGCTAGGGTTCCGTTACGGTATCATCCCGTCGGATCATCTATATTCTATTAACTACATGTGTATCCAACGGTTAAAACACCATACGGAATAATACCGCAATTCCAAACTATGTTATATTTTATAGCCAAACACGTCTTAAGACATCACAAACCTCTTGAGATATAAATAAAATCAGAATTGAAGCTATTAATTATTTTAGTTAATTTATTGAGATATTTTCTAATAAAGTTGATTGAGTGAGTTATTTAAGGGATGCTTGGACATAATTTTTATTCAAAATTTTTTATTTATTTTAACTAATTATTTTTTTAACTCAAATCTTAATCGACTTTAATCCAATCACACTATCATCAAGTTTATCAAATAATTAAATAATATTATACAATCATTTTGTACATTACATCAACTCTAATTCACTATTAGTTCACTCACATAATTTTAACCATTCATCATTTCACATCATCTCTATCTTACCAACATCAAAATCAATTTTAATTATTTTATTGTAAATATTATTTTAATATAAAATCAAAATCTCACTAGCAAGTAGCAACTAATCTTGCAACTTTTTCAAAATTAACCATACCAAATCAAAAAAATCGAAACAAAACAAAAAGAATTTATATCCTGGCATCTCCTGGTGAATTTGAATTTCTATTGTAATAATACTTAAAATATAATGATTAAAATTGAGGTGATGTAAAAATAAGAGATAAGTTATTGAAAATAATAGTTACTTAAAAAACATGTGAGTGGAAGAAAGTACATTAAAGTTGGTTTAATGTGTGAGTACTTATAATGGTTGATTCATATTTATTTAATTATATTAATAATATTAAAAAAAATTAGTTTGATTTAACTTGAGTTAAATAATGTAAAAAAGTATATTCATCAGTCAAACCATATTATATTTTATAGCCAAACACGTCTTTAAGACATCACAAAGTTCGTTATGGGCATGCTTGTTTATGAGTTATTTTACTCATTTTATCTCATACTCAAAATCTAACTCAACTTTTAATTCAATCTCACTATCTTTAATATTATTCATATAATTAAATAATACAAATCAATCATTCTCACACATCACATCAACTTTAATTCACTATTCATTCACTCACATAATTTTAACTACATATCATTTTCAATCATTTCTAATCATTTATTTCTTACTTTTACTATCAAATAAATTTTTCTTCTTTTATTTTAAATATTATTTTAATACATTTTTAAATTCCACTAAACTACTAACTATACCACATTTTTCAAAATTAACTATAGTTACCCAAAATAACTCATTTTGAACAAATTGTTTCATAATCAATCAACCCCACACATCTTCATTCGAGGCAACCTAGTTATCTAAAACACATATTTATATATTTTTAATAAAAATATTTTTGTTTATCTCGGTTTTAAGAGTATGGTATTTAAATTTTGAAGTATGAAATCATAACTTAAATTGACTTTATTAATTATTATTAGGGTAGAATGCAATATAAAATTTTACATTTTTCTTCTCGTCGGCTAATTTGTTTCAATTGGTGCTTGATTGGATGTAAATTATTCTTCAAAAATGATATTATTCATTTTTTTTCCTCCTTCATCACATTAATATAATTTAATGTAAAAATACACCAGTATTGCCCACACATACACATAAATGATAAATATATAATAACTAAAAAAAATACTATTCATTCAATTGCATATTCAGATAGTCAATCCCTATCAATTAATATATAATTATTTTATAATATATCAAAATTAATAATTACATATTTATTTTACATATTTCACGTGTTTTATTAGGCAAGATAAAACTTTCAGGTAAAAGAAAAATATTTATTCAATAGCCCTTGTATTCATACCTTTTAGTATATACAATACAATAAAACATTATATTTTAAAATAAAAAATAAAATATGATGTTTTGCCATGTTTAATATTTGTGTGCAAATCAATAGGTTTGATTTTTATTAAATGAAAAAAATTTTGGTTTCTCAATGTAGTAGAAGACTTGTCTTTGACCCAATGGTTAGGGAAATGGGTCTATTGTATTTATTTTAGCAAAAGGGTACTTGTTGACAGAGTAATTGACCACATTTATTTTTTCTATTGATATTTTTAAATTATCTAACATTATGTAATTAATTTTATGGTAAGTCAATTATATAATTATTGTTATTTCAATTTTGTGTGTCACATATGCTCTGAAAATATGTCATTGACTTTCCAAAAATTTTCATTGTTATTTTCTATAGGAAATAAAATAAATGGGATGGTTTGTACCAAAAAAAAAAAATAAAATAAAAATAAAATTAAATTAAATGGGATGGTAAAATATCAACAGTAATGCTAGGGAGTCAATTGTTGGCTCCGATACGGAGCCAACAGCCAATGGAACAGCTCCATGTGGGGCTGTCCCACATTAGAGTCATGGAGGACAATCCCACATGGAGCTGTATAATTAGTTGTTGGCTTCGTAACGGAGCCAACAATTGGCTCCTTAGCATTACTGAAAATATCAAACGCAATTCAGTGACTTATAAGGTCAGTGTGCGCCTGTTTTTTTTTTTTTTTTTTTCCTAACAATAGAGTAACATTGATAACACACACAATACAAAAGTCGAACAAAGCAGCCGAAGTCGACGACCATATGACCGAACTGAGAAGAAATCCTAAAAGGAGTCTAAAGACCACAACTCACCCACAAAGATAAAAAATACAAGCCTCCCATAAGTGGAGAACACAACTACCACAAGTGGACAACAAACACTCACAATAGTAGAATAAGCACTCCCAAAAAGAAAACGAAACACTACACACTATACATTGAAAAGAAACACATGGACACCATAACAAACACACAACATACAACACCACAAGGACACTACAAGAACACTAATAAAAAGAGTACTAACTACTATCCTCCCCAACAACCGACGAGTGGAACCACCCCATTTGAGAGCCAACACTTGAAGACGACCACCAGAGAGACAGAAGCATGGCCCAACCACAACTAGAGAGACACCAGAAGAACAACGGCTAACTAAATACGGGCCAAGAACCATACCACCTCCAAATGGAACGCCATCTGTGCACCACCAGGAGACCACACCCAACAAGCACCCCAACAAACTCCAACAGCGACCGCTGCCAACCCCAAAGAAGATGACAACACCACTGTTAACTCTAAAGAAGACGACAATAGCACATGTCGGAGACACTATTCGTCCCAGCACCATAGAAACAAAGAGAAATCAGAAATTAGGGGAGCAAAGGGCACAAACCTCAACTCCCATCACCCGCGGTGGACGCTGCCGGTAGCCAACGGGTTCGCCGCCAAGTCATCCAAAACCCTCAACCTTCTATCGGTCAGGTGTGATTGAAAATAAAATTAATTGGTGTACTGATTTAAAAAAATGATTAAATGGAAGACAACGTGAATTTTTTAATTTGTATTTAAACAATTTGTATTGAAAACACGAATGATATTACTTAAAATTATGTGATAAGTGAATACTGAATTAAAATTGATATGATGCTAAAGGAGGATTGATTTTACGGAGTGGAGCTAATTTGAATTAAATTTGAGTTATACCTTGAATTCACAAGTGCTAAAAGAATAAAAAATGTGAAACCACCAACACTTGTCCTCCGAAGGAGATCAAGGATAATGTGAAATTAAAAATTTACATTAAAAGTTTATTTACTTAAAAATTAAGAATGGATTATAGAAGCCAAAAAATAACAGAAAAAAGAGGAAATTCTGGAAATAGCAATTTTATTAGAGTGGCGGAACGAAAAAGCAAAGGCATTTATAAAGGGCAACGCATGTGCTGTCAGCGTGTTATCTGTCGGAATTTGACAGTCGTACATAAATACAACTTCTCATCCCTAACCTCACTTTCCTATTTCCCAAAACATTCTCTCTCTATAGGGAGCAAACCCTCGATTCTCACGAGCAAGATGGTCTGAGGTTCCCTTTTTTCCGCCGCCAGTCGCCGCCGTTTAGGTCTGTTTTCCGGCGCTGCCAATTTGTCTCCCGATCGGTATATTCTCTGCTCGCGAGATCTGTTACTTTAATTGTTACAAAGGGTCCGATCAAGGATCGAGCCTTGTTCTGTTTTGGGTTCGTTGGTGTTGATGAATGGTCTGTAGTTTGGACAATTTTAGCTCTCGAGCTGATGTTTTCAGCTGCATTTCTCGATTTGACTTGCTGATTTGTGTGAGTGTGAGTGTGTGTGGTGATTTTTGTTATCCTGCTTTTGTGCGGTTTCTTGATCTGATTGTTCACTAATTAGGTGAAAACAAATAATGGAGAATTACTAGTTTGTGTGGGTTTTTGGCGCATTATAATCACGTTTAGTTATGTCTTTATGCTTCTCAGATTTTTTCTTTTTTTTGTTTTTAGTGGATTTTCTTGTGCAGTGCTTCATATTGTTGTTGACTTCAATTTTTGAACGAATTCGACTCTGACCCGTGTTTTGACTTTTGACTTGTGTGCTTAGTCAATTGGGTTTTCACAAATTCTGTTACTTATATTGCTGAAATGGTTCTCTTATGTGCCTGTTCTCTTCACTCTTGGTTCGGTTATGTTTCCGTTTCAAGTCAATCCATTTTATCGTCCTTATCCCAAGATTCATATATGTTTCTGCAAGTTTGTCATATCACCCGACGAGCAGTTGCCTTCCCACAAAAACAGACGAATAATTGAAAAGAATAAAAAAAAAACATAACGTACACTCAAGCAAATATTATGTTTCTTGATTTGCTTTGAGTTCTTAAGACTAACCGTAAAGCAAGTTCTGTGAGGGTGCAAGCCCGACTATGGCTATATTTCTTCATAGTATTTGTTGTGCTGCTGAATGAGGTGCAATGTTCATTATTCCTAACTAACAAGTTGTTTAAAAATTTTATCCAGGATCTTTGAATCATGGATGGAAACTTATCAGCTGCCATGGTAATGGACTCCACAGACTCTAAGATACAACAGCTTCAGAAAGCATTTGCTGAGCTGGAAAGCCACCGAGCTATCACTCTTGATTTGAAATGGAAACAGCTCGAGGAGCATTTTCACGGGCTCCAAAAATCTTTGAAAAGACGTTTCACTGAACTTGAAGAACAAGAAAAGGAATTCGAAACCAAAATATTCGAATCAAAAGAGGTTCTCGAGAAGCGTAAAGCAGCCGTTTTGGCTAAGGAGCAATCTTCTCTTGAGAGGCTTCAAGAGAAACGGGATGCTGCGGTATCGTCCATCTTAAGTGCCATGGGGAAGCACGAGTATCCAGATTCTCCTGTTTCATGTGTTGATTATGAAGAGAATCAAGTTGAAGTTGAACCACAAGTTCTTGAGGAAAAAACATCTGATGCACCAAAACCTGCCGAAATTATGAACATCGAGGTGAAGTCTTATCCGGAGTTGGTGAAATTGTGCCGAGAGATGAACTCTGAGGGACTTCATAAATTTATATCCGAAAACCGAAAGGATCTCGTTACTTTAAGAGATGAAATTCCTATTGCTTTGAAGGCTGCGGCTGATCCTTTCTCTCTAGTTCTCGACTCGCTCAAGGGTTTCTATGGTGGTGACATTCAAAACTCAGATTCCAAAAAGGACTCGAATCTCTTAGGCATTCGTCGATCGTGTATTATGCTGATGGAGTGCCTTAGCAGTTTATACTTGAATGTGACTGTGGACTCACTTTCTGATATTATATCGGATAATGCTAAGGAGAGGGCCAAAGCTATTGCTGAAGAGTGGAAGCCAAAGTTGGATTATCTCGACGTTGATGCCAGCAATGGGAATTCATTAGAGGCCCATGCATTCTTGCAGCTTTTGGCCACTTTTGGAATTAATTCGAATTTTGATCAGGATTGTTTGTCTAAATTAATTCCCATGGTTTCCCGCCGGCGGCAAACAGCTGAATTGTGCCGTTATCTTGGCTTGTCAGACAAAATGCCAGGTTAGTAATGTTTACTCTGGTCAATGGTTTAAATATTTTTCTATCATAAGTGATTACAAAAAGTTCTTATTAAAGGTTGCTATTTATAAATGTAAATGATGGTCTCTTGACATGGTTCTCATCTCCTAAACTCAATTTTTTTTTTTTTTTTTTTTTTTTTTTTTTTCTCTTTTTTTCTTTTAGAATGTTTGCATCATCTTCCACCTGATGATCGAACTAGAATCGTAGACCTTGAATTGCAAAATTACATTTACCCTACAGAATATACTTAGTTAGAAATGATTATTCAAACGATTGAGGCGGAAAGCTCAGGTCACAAATTGTGAATATCTTAATGTCTTATCAACTTATTGCTTATGTTATATCAGGTGTGATTGATGTGTTGGTAAAGAATGGAAGACAAATTGATGCTGTCAATTTAGCATTTGCCTTTGAGCTTACCGATCAGTTTTCACCTGTTGTATTACTGAAATGCTACTTGTCTGAGGCCAAAAAGGTGCCATCATCCACAAAATCCGGAAATACATCGCCTAGTGCCTCTCCACAGGTTTGTTTCTTGTGCCTCTGTCTTTATTCGATTTGTTGGTGAGTTGATCTAATGTTCAGTTTTAAAATGCATTTTAAAATACTGTAGGTTTGCATGATGGTTGTCGAGTATCTAGGAAAAAAATGATGTAATTATGGAAAATGTTCTTCACCCTCTTGAGTTAGCTCTACTAGCGATAAAAATAAAGGGTCTTCTGCTAGAATTCTTTCTTACTCGTATTTTGGAAAGTTGGCAAACATTATCCTTGAGGTGTATTCCAATTAAAAATTTAGGCCGTGTTTCAAAGATTGAACTACCTTGTTATATAAACCTTTTTTCAGGTTTGTTATACTTTAAAACACTCCTCTATTGATGCCTAGGGTTGAATTTGTAAATTGGTGAAATACGGGTACTTGTAGTTACACTTTCGGAGTTTGTCAAAAACTGGCGTATCTAGCAGAAATTTTTCACTGCTACTAAACCGAAGTTTGACATTTCACTGTATAAATTTACATATTTGTTTAAAAAAGTTTGACTGTTTGACCCGCCTTCATTTCCAGGCACCCCATAATGAAGTGAACGAGAAAGAGCTATCCGCACTCAAAGCCGTCATCAAATGCATTGAGGACCACAAAATCGAGCACCAGTTTCCCGTGGGCCCACTCAACAAACAGGTAGCCCAAATCGAGAAGGCAAAGGCAGAAAAGAAACGGGCCACAGAAGTCTCCAAGCCACAGTCCAAAAGGCCACGTGCAAATGCCGTAGCCCACATACCGGCCCGAGTTCATAATGAGAAGAACAACTATAGAATAGCCGAGAGGTACCCACAACAACAGTATATTTACGAGAGACCATATGTTTATCCTGGGCCAAACGAACACCGAATCCCGTCTTATGTGGGCCCGCCGGCTGCTTATACGAGCTTTTCCCCTGGACATGGCAACTTCTTTGGGAATGGTTACCAGTATCAGACCACCTATTTGCACTGATGATGATTTATGGTACGTTGACTATTAGTGTTTGACCCTTCTTATTCCTACGTGTAATGTTAAACTTATGAGCAGACTTATTTTAAGTATTTGAGGAAAAAATGAATGATGGGCATTATTAGCCTTGTTGACTAATTTACTTGCCTGCTGTAAAAGTGCAAAATCCTCGCGTTGTAATGAATGTACTGTGTACTTCTTTCCTAATGTCATGTTTATAAATGTTTGTGTTAAGTGGTTGTTAATGTTATGTACCGATTATTGGTAGAAAGGTAAATCCAACACTTAAACTTCTCCCGATACAATCAATCACAACCGATACATTTCTTAACTTCTCCCGAAGCTAACTGCTATCCTTACAACCTAAACTGAAGATAGATGAACACTATGTTTAAGGCAGGTCATAATGTTGGCTATGTCAGTCACTTTTCATAACTGTTGATTTGCATTTAGCTCGTTGAGATCCATTGGTATCCAAAACAATCTCAGCTAATTGAATGTTGCCACTCAATGTTGATGCCTTGTGAGAGGGCATCAAGGAATACCCGTCAACAAGTTTCGTGCACTTCAAACACCATTTCTCCATTAAAAACTCGATGAGGTGATGTCCACTGCAGACGATAATCACAAACGCAAGTCTCTAATAATCCACATTTGGTTTATAATCTTACTTGAAAGGAAAATCATTTATTAGCTGTCACAATTACTGATTAACATATTGAAGTATAATGGTAAACTGCATACAAACCTCAAAGATGTGTCCATAAACAACTTAACACCTCATGGGGGGTATTTTGCAATTTTAAAAAACTAAATAGTATACTGTCGAAAAAAAAAAAAAACACATTTTGACTTGGTAAAGAGAGTGCAAGATTCAGTTACCTTCTGTTGTGATATGTGGTGATGAAAACAGAATCTGGGCATCTCTGGAGTAAAAATGTCACGGTTGCGAAAAGTTCATCAAAGGCTTAGCATCAGAATTCAATACAAACTCATTAATAGGTCAGATGTACAGTACAGATATGGGAAACAAGAAAATAAATTTAAAGAGCACAGCAAAAACAAAATTAATTAATTAATTAAAATGTAAACCTCACCACTCGAGTCGTAGAGCACATCAGCTCCAAGGATGATATTTGGGCGTAAATTGAAGACTGGTTCATCCCATAAACCCCATGTAAGCCCCAGTACCTACAGCAAGTGATACCCTAATTGATTATATTTTCGATATTGCATGAAAGATAGTGTGGAATGATGTAACCCATACAAAAGGGAAATATTCATTAAACAAGACATGGAAGAATACCCTGCACTTGAGGTTATTTATATTGCACAGTTTTCTCATATTATCCATCACCTGGAAGTTGAAAAAACGTTTTCATTAAGAAGTAGTTGGATAAGTTTACAGTAAATAATCTCAGCAACTAAATTTTGTGAATTTCGGTCGACAAGATTATAAATGCAGATATGATTCTTAGCTCAAGCAGTCGAACATAAAAGGAAGAAGAAAGTTGGATTTTCACAAACTACATTGTAATGCAACAGCAACACACACGTATTTACCTCTACAATCCAAATTATACAGATATCAATAGAAAAAAAAAAAAAAAGAAAAAAAAAGCAAACTCATTGTTATTTTCAATATGTACCAGATGGACTAATAGATCCAAACCTCTGATCTACTAGAATCATCAGTCAATGTCACGTCTGCACCAACTTTAGCAGCAACCAATCCAGGCAATGATGTTCCAGCACCAAGCTGTTAAAGAACAAAACTGACTTTGAAATAGAAACTTGAGCAAACAATTCAACTTAATAACAATACACGATGGCCTCTTAACTTACTTCAACAACATTAGCCCCAGCAAACCGTGATTTTTGCTGCCAAACGTACTCCGCTAGAATTATACTTGACGGCCATACAAAAAGTCCGTATTCTTCTTTCATATTCTGATAGAATATGAGAAAACAACAAAATGATGAACTCGGCTTTTCTCATTCACTTTTTATTTCTTTTCATACTCCATCTTTCATCAACTTCAGAAAATAAAGCTTTGGGGCAGGGCTAAATGATCAAAAACCTGGATGATCCTGATGGAGAAACCATCCTCAGTGCTCCCAAAGTAATGATGAGAACTTGTGGTCATTCCATGCTCAGTCGAAATTTGGTCACTCTTTTCAACTGAAGAAGACTGGGGGAATAGAGCTTCAGTATACTTTTAAACCCAGAAAACCAGTGTTAAACGCTCATTTTTTTTATCTCCAATCATACGGAGAGTGAACCAAACAAAAGGCTACTGAAGGTAGTTATGGCTAATTGGGAAAATTTGAAAAACTACCACTTCACTTTTCGCTCCATAAAAATGCCACCTTTATCATTTTCGGCTGCAATATTAGTCGTTACCAGCCGTTGATTTGATCGTGAAAGAAAAGGGTGGCATTTTTTTGCAAGGAGAAAGTGAAAAAGCTTGGTTTTTTTCCCCCTAATTCTCCTTATAGTGATGGATTATTAGGTCTTCGTGGAAACCGGCCAAGATGGTAAAGATTGAGACTTGACTCATGGCAAAATCTCAAGTAAGGTACACTGAATTCCTCTAGCATATGATGCACCTATAGTCCATAAAACTATGTTGGAACTTCTAAATGCAGCATGGTTGAACTGAGACCAATGAAATTCTTCACCAAAATGAAGAAAAAATAAATAAATAAATAAATAACAACAACAATACAACCAGTTGAACTCAAAATAAAATTGAAATATTTCGATATAAATAAACCAAATGATGTGTTTTATGCTGCTCACGTCTCAATTGAAGTGTATATTCCCTTATATTCTATATAATTTTTTTCTTTCTATTTATACCTCATTATCATCGTGCTGGTCATATTGAGGCTTCAAATTCGACTTGATTTCCTTCTTGTTGTTCCTGGACGCCATGGATGTGCTGTATGGCACAGGGCCGGCGCAAATTAGCTGAAAGCGGCAGCTGATTCCAACCGCTGTGAGTGTTATTTTTCTCCTTTAAACCCTGAGACTGGAGCCCAGTAATTATTTCAGGCGCTCCCACTCAAGTTCACTTTCAAGTGAATTTTATTTTTATGAAATGGATGGGCTATTATATAAAACTAGCATTATTATGATTGTATTATAAACTAAATAAATAAATCATGATTTACTCATTACTTTTTGAATTGAACAAAATCGGACAGTCGATCAGATGGATCAGGAGCCGGTTTATTGACCAATCTAGTTTGCTATAATAAAATGTTTACTAGCGAACCAGCGAACACCTGTCGGAGTACAAGAGCATCCGAATGGGGGTGATCAAACAGCCCAACGTCTTCGTTGAAAAAGGTGACGGGTTTGTTCTAATATAGTCGGTTTGTATTCAACATTTCGAGCATGTTATTGTATGCCTTTGTCTATCTTCGGAACATGATCGACATTAAATAGTATTAATCATTCTCACACATAAGGCTGTAAACGAGCCGAGCCGAGCTCGAGCTTTAGGTGTTTGAGCTCGAGCTCGAGCTCTTAATGAGTCGAGCCGAGCTCGGCTTGTTAAGTAAACAAGCCAAAAATCAAGCTCGAGCTCGGCTCGTTAAGGCCACGAGCTCGAGCCTAAACGAGCCGATCTCGAGCTTTAACGAGGCGAACTATAAAATATTACATAAATTTCACTTTTCGAGCCTTATCGAGCCAAGCTCAAACGAGCTTTAAATGAGCTCGAGCTCGGCTCGTTAAGGCTTCGAACTCGAGCCGAACCGAGCCTTAACGAGCCGAGCCAAACTCGTTTAATTTAACAACACTACTCACACATTATATCAAATTTAATGCACTATTCATTTATTCACATAATTTTAACTAATTATCAAATTTCAATAAAAACTTTCATATATTTACATCACAAACGACTTTAATTATTACATTTTAAATATTATTTTAATTTCAAAGTTAAAATCATCTACTCAATCAACATTATTAAAATAACCAATTTTTACAAACCAAATCCAACCAAAAAGTTGGATTCATAAAAATTCCAAAAGAATACTCATAATAAAACTTCATCATTTTTACACATTCAATTAATGTCAAATTTAGTCCACACACTCTCAAAAAACAAACCCTTTCTTCCAAAAGAATACACCTAAATAAACCTTCATCATTTTTTTTTTTTGGTACATAAAATTAGGCATAGCCTAATAAGAAAAAGGATCACACAGCTACTACGTTCCGTGGGTGGAAAATACCAATGATATTGTGTTCCAGCCACGGGTTAACGTCATCCGGAGGGTGTTGCAACACATGAAGCCCAGCAGGGCTGCGAGTAGCCAATGAGGCCAACGAGTCCGCCGCAAAATTTGATTCACGCCAATCATGGAGGAGGCGCACCTCCCAATCTCTAGCAATAAGCTCCCGGACACCTCGGATCAAACTTCCATTCACTCCGACCCCACCATGGGGAAACCTTCATCATTTTTAAACATTTAACTAATGTCAAATTTAGTCCACACACTCAGAAAACAAAACCATGTTTTCTGGTAAAACAGCCCAAGAATCCAAAAAACGGAAAAGAAAAGGAAAAAATGAAAGAAACATGGAAAAAAACCTTCATAAAGACCCCAACTATTCACACACCCACTTGGGTCCAAAAGCTCCTCAAGCAAAAGCAACCATTTTTCCTTTCGTCTCCTTCCTTTCATCTCCAATGAAAGCAAAGCTTCTGCAACCCCAATGAGCAAATCCCACCAATCTTAGCACTCCATTTTCCCATCTGCAACACCCCTTTTCAGTGTCCCATGGATGAGTAAGCTCTATATCCCCTTTGTACCAAATCGTGTTCATACGCTTGAATGATTTGATTGTATTTTTTTTTTTTTTTTTTAATTTATTTGCAGATCTGATGTTTACCCGAAGGACCCATTCACCCCTCCACCCCGTCGCACCTCCTCCGCCGCCGGAGGCGGCGGCCCTTCCACTACCGGTGTCCACGTCACCGCCCTCGACGGCCTCGTGAACGTGAACTCCCTCTTCACCATCGCTGTCTTCGTCGGCCTCTCCCTCACCACTCCCGGCCAGCACAGCCTCGAGAACTCCTCCGCCTGCGATGCCGGCCTTGACGTGGCCCGGAAGCTTCTCGTCTTCGAGGTCGTTTCCTTCAGCTTCTTCCTCTTCTCCTCCCTCGTGGCACAGGGCCTCAAGCTCGCCATCAACCTGCTCAACAGCAAGGACGTGGACGAGGTATTCCGGGCCCACATCAACCTCCGTGTGCTGAGGCTCGGGATGTTGGCCTCCGCAGTGGGGTCCGTCATGGGCTGCCTGTTCCTCATGTTGTCCATGGTGAATGTGATCGAGATCAGGCTCGGGATGCTGTCTTGCGGCAGCCGGTCCACGGCTCACGCGGTCACGGCCCTAATTGTTCTGGTGACCTCTGCCCTCTTGGTTTATATTTCGACTGCTGTGTATGCTTTTCTGCATTGAGTTTGATGAACTGAGGAAGATGGTAGTTGGTTTGGTGCTCTCGATGTGTTTGATGAAATGCTGGATTAGCTACTTGTTGTATACTTGGAACCAATCAATCTCTTTTTATATGATTAGAGAAAGTTTCGGCTAAAGATGTGATCTTGTTGAAGTAAAGTCGTTTTCTTGTTGAAAATTGATAAGCTGATAAGTTTATGGATATCTAACCTCAGTTTTTTCTTTTTTTATGATACCAACATTGTCCGAGACGATTAGCGGATTTGGAGTTCAAGTAACTTCTCGTGGTTAATTTTCAGTTTTGTTGTTAAGTTGATTTTGGAGATGTTTTTTACCGGGCGCTATTAGATTTGCTCATAATATGCAACCTTTGAGCCAGATTTTCACGCATATTGTGTATCACTGATTTGAAAGCCATGTAAAACATAACTCTTGACTTTCATTTTTACGGACTAAATGGCTGTGATCTGCAAGGTTAAGATTGCTATATTCTTATTTCAAGGACATCTCTTGAAGAGGATGTTTCTTATCTGACGCTCCATTGAAGAATACTCGTGAGGAGCTATTTTATGTATCTGCATTATTCGACCCTCACCACAAGGTTGAATCCTAACATTATAAGTCCTAGCACAGTAAGAAACATAGGCCTTCGTCAGGCAGATGGCAACTGAAGTTGGATTATTGAAGTTTCTATTTTAGTGGATTTACTTTCTGTTGAATGGAATATTGTATCGAGTTGTGAACGAAGGTGATAAAGCTCCGAGGACCAAACGTGGGCTTCAGTTCTATGATTTCCAGTTCTATTTGATCTATGTTAACTTCCCCTTCAATATGATGTTGCGACTGTTGAAAATCTCTCCATTGTTTGAAAGTTGGTTAACTAAGCGGCTCTTGATGAAACACGGGCCTTTTGCTTACGTGCAGTTCGATAACAATGTTACACGATACAGATAAACTATTGATATCCTTTCTACAGGATTTTCTTTGTACATAAAATTTTTCAATTTTTTTACGAACTTTTGCTCTTCTCCATGGCGATGTATTGGTTTGTATTCTAATCTAATATAACCAATTCATGCAGCCAATTCCAATGGTAAGTTTTGAAGCAACAGTTTGGATTTGGCTTGACTAATTTTCGGCCTTATTCTCAGGGGTGAAGATAGAACTAAATGGACCTTTCTTGAGGTTTGGTCTTTTAGTTTATACCGTATACGTAATCTACTATCGTGTAGACTTTCAAATTCACACACTATCACCCCAAATATTGATGTCATTTGACGCACAACAATACCTGTAATGCGTTGTTTTTTCTTTTGTTTTTTTTTTTTGTTTTTTTTTTAAAAATTTTGTCCAAATTAGCAAGGCTTATCCTGAAGAAATATGACTAACTTGACCTTAAATCTGTTAATAAAAATAGGGTGTTATTAGTAGTGTTGTTAAATTAAACGAGTCTGGTTCGGCTCGAGTTCGAGGTCTTAACGAGTTGAACTCGACTTAGCTCAATAAGGCTCGAAAATAGAAATTTATATAATTTTTTATTGTTCAACTCGTTAAAGATTGAGATTGGCTCGTTAAGGCTCGAGCTTGAGGCCTTAACGAGCCGAGCTCGAGCTCGATTTCAGGCTCGTTTACTTAACGAGCCGAGCTCAGCTCGACCCATTAAGGGCTCGAGCTCGGCTCAGTTTGTTTACAACTCTAGTTACTAGCAATTCACTAAAAATATCAGTTTTATCCTTTTTCTTTCCGACACTATTAGTTTGAAAAACGCAAAAATAAGTCCAATAATTAGAAGAAAAAAAACGCTACTTTAATTTCTCATGCTGCCATCAAGCAGGCTGTATGGAATGCCTCTGGTAGTAATGTTTGATTAAGAATTTAAGGCCAATTTTTTCTAGATGGTAAACAGATCAAACTTTTTCGATTTGATTCATAATTCCAATTCAGTATTCATGATTCCTATTCGTAAAATTTTAATTTCTAATGCAAATAAGAATAATTTTTACTTTTTTAAGTATTCAATTTTTTTTTTTCGAATTTGAATCCAAATATGACATATTAAGTTCAAAATTATCAAATATTGATTCGTTGATTGATAATCGTTATATAAAATTCAATATGTTATGTAGAATCTAACTTTTATTTATACAATATATATACTAAATACAAATTAATAAAATTTATTTATATTAAAAAGTTGCATTTAAAAAAAATAAATACTTCATAAAAACGAATTTCAAATCTATTATATTAATCTTATCAAATACAAATCACAAAATTAAATTCAATAACAAATACAAATACAAATCGTCAAGTACTTAGTACTTTTACGAATTCGAATCGAATAGTCGAGTATTCACTTTAGTTAGTTTAAATTCCCAAACTTTTCTATATCTATACTATTATAAAAGTGCTAATGAATCTGTAAAAATATAATATTCCTAAATTAACCTTATTTTGTCAAAATAATTTTGTAATTTAATATTAAAGTTTAAACATACAGTCCTAATCTGCCGTCAAATTAATTTTGTAAGTTAATATTAAACATACAGTCCTAATATGCTCCCAAGTCCTTCACAAAGCGACGTCGCGAAATCATGTACCTAAATCCTTCACAAACGGACCTCGCCAATTCCTTGACAAAGAGACCTCTCTGTTGATCAACCACGAATCCGAAATCGGTAACAGACCTTGTCGATCAAAAATCAACATCTTCACGTTTCCTCACCCGACATCCAATTGGCCGACTGAGAATTCAGTGCCATTCAGGATCTCCTTCACCCGACATCCAAT